TTATAAAATAATTTAGTTATTGATTAATAAGTATTAATAATTATTTTTATGATATATTTATACATATATTTTTATGATACTTATTGATTGTCGTACTATTAATAAAAAATTAATTGAAATTAATTACTTTAGTAAATAAAAGTAACTTTTAAAAAAATTAATTAATTAATATTAATATTTAAATAAAAATAATATTATTATTATTTTTAATTACTTTAATTAATTACTTAATTATTCTTTTTAAAAAAATATATTTAACTAAAACTATATACCATATTAAATAATAAATATAATAACAATCATTAATTATAATTTAATAAAAACATTTAATAAAATTACTAAAATTAGTTATTATTATTATTATATTTATTGTTAATATAAAAATATTGTAGTAATTATCAAATTTAGTAATAGCAAATAAATGACAATATCAACAACAACAACAAAATGTTTAAATTAATTTAAACAATTAACTATCATTATTAGTATTAATTATATTTTAATTTATAAATAGATTATAAACTAATTTTCTAATTGTTTAATTATATATCAATTAATTATCAAATAAATTTTATTACAATATTTGCAACTAATATATGTTTAAAAAAGTAATTGTTAAACTATATTTGTTAACAGATATGTATTAAATAAATGTAGTAAATTTTAAATTACCAATTGTTTTATAATTTTTTTTAAATAACTTTTTACTATTAATAAATTTTAAAAAATATTCGTATATTATGTATGAATAAATGTAATATTTTTGTATAAAAGTTTATTTTATGACTAAATTTAAACAATAAATAAATAAATAAAAATCAATATTTTAAACGATATGATTTAATTTGTTGTAATAATAATAATAATTAGCTTAATAAAGTTATTTTGAAATTTAATCAGTGATACAAACAGTTGTCAACTGTTTAATAATAATTAAGACAATTATGAATATTAATAATACTAATAACACAGACACAGCTATTATAATAAACAATTTGTATAATTTTAAATGATTTATTAACTGATTTCCAGTGCAGTGCATATATTATCGACAAAAAAATGTCAACAATTGTCATCGATTTAGTGGACAGTTAGACACTCAGAGAGATAGAGAGACCGCACGACTCATAAATTGTTTGTTTGAATATAACTTTACCGATGAGTCCGGCCATTGATTGGAAGATAATTAAAGTAAGTTTTTATCCTTTAATTATTTTTTTTAAAAAAATATTATATAAATAGTTTAGTTTTTAATTGTATTTTTTATATAGTTTTAATAGTTAAAATAATAATATTTATAATTGATTTTTTAAAAATAATTTCTATTGAATTACTGGTTTTATTATTAATTTAGTTTTTTAAAAGAAAAAAATTACATAAATAATTGCAATAATTGATATCTAGAATATAATAATATTTATAATATAATATTATTTATTTGCTGAATAGTTAATATTTTAATAATATATTTAATTTTACTTGAAAATTAATAATTATTTTTTTAAATTTTATATATATTTTTATTATTAAAATTAATGATTGTATATAAAATTTACATAATAAAGTATACATTTTATGATTTGAATTTTTATTATTAATAATAATTAGCAAACAAACTAATATCTAATAACATTTAATTCATATACAATTTTTCTATATTAATTATTTTAACAATATTTTATTTTAAAAAAAAAATTCTTTTTTAATAACTAAATCAATTACAATATAATTAATGACAATATTTTTTAATAAAGCTATTGATTAATTAAGAATCTATAATATATTAATTCATTAAACAATTATTTTTATTTTAATTATTTAATAAATTATCATTTTATATAGAATTAAATTAAATAAACTAATATTTAATTAATAAACATTTTATTAATATGCAATTTAATATTTATTAATTGAATAGTTTAAAATAATATCTTTTTTAAAAAAACAATATTTCTTGTTTAATATATAAAACAAATACAATATAATTATTAGTGTTGAAATTACAACAAAAAAAATAAATAAAGACAATATTTTATTTAATGATAATTAAGACTCTATTTTCTAATTAAAATATTTATAATTGAATTATGATTGAATAATTTTTTTAGTAAAACTTTTGCCGCAATCGTTGACATCATAAACATATTTATTATTGAAATGAACATAACAGTCATTATAATCAGTAATTTTCATAGAAATGCAATCATTTGATGTAATATTCACTACATTTAAGCCATCAATTGTTTCACACAATTTGTTATTAATTTGTTGTAAATTCAATGACAAACTTTTCAAATTATTTAATTTATTAATTAGTTTAATTAACTCCATAACTGTTTTGCAAAAAAATAATATAACTTTAATATCAATAAAACACGTGTTTTATAACATATTTAATTTATATTAAATCAAACGCTAAATCATTGGAAAAAGGATATCACTTTATATATGATTTTTGTGTTTTTATTTAATCCTTAAACCTGTTTATTAATATTTATTACTTGAATTATTTATTTTAGAAATACTTATATTATTATTAACAATAATTTTTATGTCAAATTAAATATTAAATTAATTAAATTAATAGTTATTTTTTAAAATTTATATATATTTTTATTATTGTATTTATATGATTGTATATAAAAACTGCATAATTAAAGTATAAATCTTATGATTTTACTTATTATTAGTAATAATTAGTTAATTAATAGTTAGTTAATAACATAGCACTCATTTAGTTAATATGCAATTTAATCTTTATTAATTGAATAATTTAAAAATATAATATTTTTCTTGTATAATAAATAAAACAATTACAATAAAATTATTATTGGGTTTGAAATTACAATAAAATAATTAAAAACAATATTTATTTTTAAGACTCTATTTTCTGGTTTAAAATATTTATGGCAATTATTGACATCACATATTTAAATGGCTTTATATATCTAAATGTTTAATACGTTTGTGTTGTTGATAACAATTTGATATAAAATATATTTTTTGACAATTTTTATAATCGCACAAATTTTCATAAATAATTTTCAATTAACTTTACCTATTATTTTAATATTTATTGTATATTAATGATAAATACATTAAATATAACAATAATTAAATATGCAGTATATATATATATATATATTTCAAATTAAATATTAAATTAATAGAAATTTATATATAATTTTATTATCAAAATTAATGATTGTATATAAAAACTGCATAATAAAGTATACATTTTATGATTTGAATTTTTATTAGTAATAATTAACAAATAAACTAATATTTAATAACTTAACACTCATTTAATTCATATGCAATTTTTGTTTATTAATTGAATAACATAAAAATAATATTTATTTTTTTAAAAACAATATTTCTTGTTTAATTGATTCATAAAATACAATATAATTATTTGTTTTTTATAAAATTATAAAAAAAATATTTAATAAAATATTTAATGAAAATTTTTTTTTAAATGATAATTAAGACTTTAAGATTTTATGGTTAAAATATTTATCGCAATCATAGACATCTCATTTATTTGTTATTAATTTGTTGTAAATTCAATGACAAACTTTTCAAATTATTTAAATTATTAATTAGTTTATTTAATATTAACTCCATAACTGTTTTTTAAAAATAATATAACTTTAATATCAATAAAACACGTGTTTTTATAACATATTAATTTATATTAAACAGTAGATGATTGGAAAAGGATATCACTTTATATATGATTTTTTTTGTTTTGTTTAATCCTTAAACCTTTTTATAAATATTTATTACTTTAATTATTTATTATACTGAATATATTAATGAATATATTATTAATAACTGATTTTCATCAATAATTTTCTATTTAGTTTTCCTATAATTATAATATTTGTTGTATATTAATGATAAATACATTAAATATATCAATAATTAAATATATATATATATATATATATATATATTATATCAAATTAAATATTAAATTAATGAAATTAATAGTTATTTTTAATATCTATATATATTTTTAATATTAATATTACAATTACAAATTTGTGGATTTGTGTTTAATCCTTAAACCTGTTTATTAATATTTATTATTTTTGATTATTTATACAGTAATATAACATATTTTAATTATAATTTTCTTATTAATTTATGTTTTATAATTATTATTATAATGTTTTTATAGTTGTATTTGGTCAGTCATCGTAAATATAATAACAAGTTGTTTAATAGGTTTGAATTAATTAATTAATCAATTTTATAAAAATATTTATTTATTGCCCAAATTAACAGCTAATTAATTGCTTTGTGTTGTTATTGTTGTTTAATAAACTGTTTAATAATTCTTTAAATAATATAAATTTTAAAATATTTGAGGCCGCTAATAAAATTATTACTATTATTTATTTATGTATTTTTTATTATTTATTAATATTTATTACTTGAATTATTTATTTTTAGTAATACTTATATATTTTTCAACATATTTTCATCAATAATTTTCTATTAAATTATTATAATATTTGTTGTATATTAATAATATATACATTAAATATAACAATAATTAAATATATATTATTTTTTATATCAAATTAAATATTAAATTAATAACTAGTTATTTTTTAAAAATATTTATATATAAATATTTATTATTAAAAATAATAACAGAATATAAAAACTGCATAATAAAGTATACATTTTATGATTTGAATTTATTATTAGAAATAATTAGCAAATAAACTAATATTTAATAACTTAGCACTCATCTAATTCATATGCAAATTAATCTTTATTAATAGAATAATTTAAAAATAAATATATTTTTTAAAAACAATCTTTTTTTTGTAAAACAATTACAATATAATTATTGAAATTTTTTTCAAATTACAAAAACAATTTAAATAAAATAATTAATGACAATATTTTTTTAATGATAATTAAGACTATTTTCTTTTTTAAATATTTATCGCAATCATTAACATCACAACATTTAAATGGCTTTATATATCCAAATGTTTAGTACGTTTGTGTTGTTGCAAACCTTTTGATGTAAAATATATTTTTTTGACAATTTTTATAATCGCATCGAAATTTGACTTCAATTGAATGATCTATTGATATATGTTGTCGTAAACAATGATTTGTTGAAAATGTTTTCAAACATTTGTTGTTAATTGAACAATGAAATCGTGGTCCAGATATATGTAATAATTTATGTCTATTATAATCACTTTTAGATGAAAATATTTTTCCGCAATACTCGACATCACATCGATATTGTTTATGTTTTAAATGAATTAACATTTTATGCGATTTTAAATTACATATTTGTGTGAATAATTTATTACAATTTTCATAATTACATTTAAATTTTTTATTTAAATGAATACTAGATTTATGTTATATATATTAATTTATATTAAACCAAACAGTAAATCATTGTAAAAGAATATCACTTTATATATGATTTTTTTTTTGTTTTGTTTAATCCTTAAACCTGTTTATTAATGTTTATTATTTTCATTATTTATTTTAGTAATAATTTATATTAGCAATAGCAGATTTTCATCAATAATTTTCTAATTTTGTTTGATTGAATCATAATTAGAATAGTTGATATATCTTTTAACTAATTATTTTTTTTAATATAAATTTTTACATATTATTTATAAATATTTATATACTTACAGTATATTAAAACTATATTTTATTGTTAATAGATTGTTGTAATAAATTAAATTGTTAAAAATATTTTTGTTTATTAATTTTTTTAAAAAACATTAATTATTGATTTTACTATAAAATAATTATATTTTAATCTTATATTAAAAGATAATTTCATTTTATTTGTGTATATGTATTTAAAACTGTAATAAATTAAAATAAAAATAATTATAACTCTTTAATTAATGTAATAAAATATTATAAGAATGGACTCAAATGATTTTGAAAAAATAATATTATTTTATTTGAATTTTTACTTTAATTATTTTTAAATAAAATTAACAAATTATTTATCAGATATTATATCCACTAATGTATTAAATTTTAAATTAACAATTGTTTTATAATTTAAAATAAAATTCTATTAATAGATAAATAAAATTTAAAAAATATTAACGTATAGTATGTATGAATGAATGCAATGATGTCAACAAAAATTTTTTGGATAAAAGTTTATTTTATGACTAAATTAAAACAAAATAAAAAATAAATCAATAAAAATCAAATCAATAAACGATACGATTTTATTGTTGTAATAATTGCTATAATAATAATTAGTTTAGTAAAGTTATTTTAAATTCAATCAGTGATATAAACAGTTGTCAAATGTTTAATAATAATTAAGACAATATTGATAATAATAAGTTTTTTTCATGAAAATAAAAAAAATGATAATTGAATCAATTGAATGACAAACATGTGATGCAAAAAGTTATAAAAAACATTGCATTCAAAACACATTGAAAAATCAGTTAATTATTAAACTATTATTATTTGTAATGATTATAGTGAGTGCGATAATAATAATAATGTAATGGATATTAATAATAATACTAATAACAAAAACATATTATTATAAACAATTTGTATAATTTAAATGATTTATTAACTGATTTCCAGTGCAGTGCATATATTATATATTATCGACAATAAATATCAACAATTGTCATCAATTTATTGGACAATTATACACTGAGAGAGTAAAAATTGTTTATTTGAATATAACTTTACCAATGAGTCCGGCCATTGATTGGGAGATAATTAAAGTAAGTTTTTATTCTTCAATTATATTTATAAAAAATTATAATATATTAATAGTTTAGTTTTAAATTGTATTTTTTGTTTAGTTTTATTAGTTAATAAAATAATATTTATAATATCATTTAATCATTTAATATTTATTGTTTTTTGTTTGGTGGTAAATTAATTATTAAAAAATGATTTATATGGAAATGTTTTTTTCATTAAAATTATTATTTTGTTATTATAAAAATAATACAGTTTATTGAATATTATATTTATTTTAGACATTGTATTAATATTGTTTATGAATTAACAATTACTTGAAATAATAATAATAATATGAAAGCTATTACAGTATAATTTATTTATTGAATATTTTTTATTTAAATAAACCAATTAATTAATTAAGAAACTAATATATTTTTAAAATATAATAACTATTATTATAAATGAAAAATAGTCAATAAATATGTTTATTTAATAAATTATCATTTTATATAAAATTAAGTTTAGTTATTTTATAAAAAACATACAAATCTAAACTTATTTATGACAATAATATATATGATAATTTAGAGCAGATTTTTCTGTAAAACATTGATTACATTCATTGAAATCACATTTAAATGGTTTAATTCCTGAATGTTTTCGTTGATGTCTTAAAAGTTCAGTTTTAGTAGCAAATTGTTTGCCACAGTTATCGACATCACATTTGTTTGGTTTTATATTCAGATGACTAGTTCGGTAATGATGTCTTAAATGTTTGAATTTTGTAAAATATTTTCCACAGCTATTGTAATCACACTTGAATTCGCGTTCAATTGAATGATCTATTGATTTGTGTCGAAGTAAACAATGATTTGTTGTAAATGTTTTTAAACACTCGTTTACTGAACACTTGAATTGTTTTTTCTTCAAATGAGTTAATTTATGTTTTTTATAACAGCTTTTAGTTGCAAATGTTTTATTACAATAATCAACTTCACATTTAAATAATATTTGCTTTAAATGATATTGAATTTCATGTGTTTTAATAGCAAACTTTGTTGTAAAAGTTTTATTACAATTTTCATAAAAGCATTTAAGCTTTTTATTAAAATGAACACTAGATTTATGTTGATTTAAATTTGAAGTTGAATTAAAACTTTTGCCACAATCGTTGAAATCGCAAACATATTTAATCATAAAATGTTTAGATTTTTTATGATAATCTAAATTTGATTGATTTTTGAATTTTTTATTACAATTATTACATTCAAACTGTTTTTTAGATGAATGCGTTAATTGATGTATAAGTAAAAGTTTTTCATTAGTGTTAATATAGCGACATTTAGGCCAAAAGCACTTAAATAGCTTATTATTGTTATCCATACGTGTGTTGTTGTTGTTGTCATAACAGTCACTATAATCAGTAATTTTCATAGAAATGCAATCATTTGTTGTGATATTCATTGAATTCAAGTCATGAATCGCTTCACACAAAACATCAGCATTTTTTGACAAACTATTAGTTTGTTTATCATTAATGGTATTGTGTAATGATTTCAATTGACTTAATTTATTTAACATATACTTAATATTAACCAATTTATCATTTATTATATCCATTTCTTATTAATTATAATTAATTGACAACAAATTGACAAAAACAATATCAATAATAACAAAAGATAACTACTAAATACTGATTCAAACAAACAAAGCAATACTTTTGGCAATAATATTGTGTTTTTCAATAGCAATGGATATCAATATATCGATTATTAATTCAATATTTTTATATTAACAATAATAATACCATATTTTATTCAATGTTTTATATTCAAAATCTAATAAATATTATAATTTTGTTTAGTTTTGTAATATATTTATATTTAATAATTAATGATTTATAAAAAAAAATCATATTAATATATAGATATATAATGTTCCTATGAGATTCATTGATTGAAATGATATTAAATGTAATTTTAATTTGTTATTATTTGATAAATAAATGTGTTTTATAACATTTACATAAAAATATCATTATTATTATTATGAAAATCATTGGCTAATTACAAGTAAATATCAGAATTTACTAAACTTTTAACACTACTAATAATATTTTGTGACAAACTATTTGTTTGTTTATTACTAATACTATTGTGTAATGATTTCAATTCACTTAATTTATTTAACATATACTTAATATTAATTGAATTCATATTTGTTAAATAATTTTTTTTAAAAAAATATTGAAACAAAATACACACACAAATTGATAGCAACAACAGATAACTACTACTCAAATCAAAAGTCAAACAAAACTAAATGCAATAGACTTTTTGGCGCTTATATTGTGTTTTTCAATAGCAATGGATATCAATGTATAACTGATACTAAAAACCGGTTTAAAAAAAACTTTTAAAACAAACTACTTGTACTAAATAATTGTAGTAAAGCTACAATTCATTCACTCACTCACTCACTAGTAATATCAAAATTGATAATCAGTTTACTATTAGTTTACTATATATTGTAATAATTTGTAAAACACATGTGTCGTCCATATGTTTGAGATATTTGTTTTGAAAAACAGTTAATGTTATGAATATATATATATATAATATGTTACTATAAATGTTTTTTTTAATTTGATATTAAAAATTTATTTTTTAAAAAACCAAATAATTAATTTTAAAGTATTTAATACAGTACATTTTGAAATCTACTAAATAAATATATAAATAAAAAAAATATATAATAAATTAAAAAAAAATTATTTTTATTTTATAAAGTATCATTATATTTATAAAATTGAATTAAGTTACAAATTTTAAAATTAAATTTTTAATAAATATCTAAAATTATTTATGACAATAATATTTATGATAATTTAGTGAAGATTTTTCTGTAAAACATTGATTACATTCATTGACATTACATTTAAATGGTTTAACTCCTGAATGTTTTCGTTGATGTATTGAAAGTTGAGATTTAGTAGCAAATTGTTTGCCACAGTTATAGACATCACATTTGAATGGTTTTATACTCAGATGAATATATCGTTTATGTTTTTTTAAATGTTTTAAATTTGTAAAATATTTTCTACAGTTTTTGTAATCACACATAAATTGTGGTTCAATTGAATGATCTATTGATATGTGTTGTCGTAAACAATGATTTGTTGTAAATGTTTTCAAACACTTGTTTACTAAACACTTGAATTGTTTTTTCTTCAAATGAGTTAATTTATGTTTTTTATAACTGCTTTTAGCTGCAAATGTTTTATTACAATATTCAACATCACATTTAAATAATTTTGGTTTTAAATGAAATTGAATTTCATGTGCTTTCAATTGAAATTTTGTTGTACATGTTTTATTACAATTTTCATAAAAGCATTTAAACTTTTTATTAAAATGAACGCTAGATTTATGTTGATTTAAAAGTGTATTTCTAGCAAAACATTTGCCACAATCGTTGTAATCGCAAACATATTTAACATTTAAATGTTTAGATCTTTTATGACAATCTAAATATGATTTAGATTTGAATGTTTTATTACATTTATTACATTCAAACTGTTTTATAGATGAATGCATTGATTGATGTAAAACTAAATTGTTTTTATTTTTAGTTTTAAACCGACATTTGGGCCAAAAGCATGTGAATCGCATGTTATTGTTGTTATCCATACGTGTGTTGTTGTTGTTGTCATAACAGTCACTATAATCAGTGATTTTCATAGAAATGCAATCATTTGTTGTTTTGATATTCACTCCATTCAAGCCATCAATTGTTTCACAAAATTCATAGCAATTGTTATTTATTTGTTGTAATTTTAATGACAAACATTTCAATTCATAAAATTTATTTAAATTATTAATAGTTTTGTTTAGTAACAACAACTCCATTATTGTTTAGAAAATTTCACTAAAGTATCAAAAAAAATACTAAATGTGTTGTTTTGATCGCACATTGAAATCACACCAAACAATGACTAAAATAGGAAATGGATATCATATCACTGTATATATAGATATATATATAGATATATATATATATATATATATTTGTATTTAATCCTTAAACCTGTTTAATAATTTATAATAACTTTTTACTTTAGATTAACATAAATATTGTATTTCTATTGTTGTAATTTTGTTTTGATTAAATATTATTAACACCTAGTTGTATCATTATATTAAAACAATTAATGTATATTTTATTTAGGCGTGGTTCACATATTACGGGAGGGGGGTTGGCCGTTTTGCGAACGAGGGGGAGGGGAGGGGTGGGGTATAGTCTTTAAGAACGTTCGCATTTAGATAATATTTTATTTCTTGTGGTGGGGGGGGGGGGTAGCGGTTAGGGACATGCGAACGTAATTTTTTTAAATGACTACATGCGAACAATTGCGAACATAGGGGAGGGAGGGGGTCTAGATTTCTTAAAAAGTGCGAACGTAATATGTGAACGACGCCTTATGCTTTAAAGCTATAGATTTAATAGTTTTATTATATTTAGTTTTTTTGACAGTGAGTTGGACTAAATTTAAGGCCAGTACTATATATATATATATATTTGTGTAGATTTTCAACGATAGGAACGGTATCTGAAAACGTATAGCAGTTTTGTGATGTGTTTAGGGATTTACCTGAAAGATATGTATTATTTGTTTGCCACCGGATTGGTTGGGCAAACAGTTTGAAGACTAATCAAATAAAATACCAATATTTACTTAAATATATTTTTAATTGCTTTTTTTAAAAAATAATTTCTAGTGATTTACTGTTTTTATTAATAATATATTTTTTTAAGAAAAAATTTTAATAATTGTTATCTATAAATTTTAGTAATTTAATTATAGTATTTAGTTTAAGAAACTATTGAAAAATACATTAATATTTATGATTTTAAAATAATAATTTATTAAACATTAAACATAATTATAAAAACATTCAATTGAATGGTTTGTTGTAAATTCAATAACTTAGCACTCATTTAATTCAAATGAAATTTTTCTTTATTAATTGAATAATTAAAAACAATATTTCTTGTTTAATAAATAAAACAATTACAATATAATTATTGTGTTTGATATTACAAAAAAAAACAAATTAAATAAAATAGTTAATGACAAAAAATTTTAATGCTATTTAAGACATTATTTTCTCGTTAAAAAAAATTATCACAATCATTGACTCACATATTTAAATGGCTTTTATATCCAAATGTTTTGTACGTTTATGTCTTTGCAAACCATTTAAATTAAAATAAATTTTTTGACAGTTTTTATAATCGCATCGAAATTTCGGTTCAATTAAATGATCTTTTGATATGTGTTGTCGTAAACAATGATTTGTTGTAAATGTTTTCAAACACTTATTGTTTACTGAACAATAAAATCGTGGTTTAGATAAATGTATTAATTTATGTCTATTATAATTATTTTTAATTGAAAATTTTTTGCCACAATAATCGACATCACATCGAAATTGTTTATGTTTTAAATGTACTGATTTTACATGATTTCTAATATCAGATTTTTGACTAAATGTTTCGTTACAATTATTATAATTACATTGAAATTGTTTTTTATAATGAATACTTAATTTATGAATTTTTAGACTATTTTTTGTTGAATAACTTTTGCCACAATCGTTGACATCACAAATATATTTAACATTTAAGTGTACAAAATTTTTATGGTTTTTCAATAGTGTAAATTTTGAAAATGTTTGATTACAATTAATAATATTACATTTATATGCTTTATGTAATGTATGAAGTGTTTTATGATAATCAAAATTTTGTTTACTATTAGTTTTATACCGACATTTAGGCCAAAAACACTTGAATTGCGTGTTATTATTATCCACACGTGTGTTGTCATAACAGTCACTATAATCAGTGATTTTCATAGAAATACAATCATTTGTTGTGATATTCACTACATTCAAGCCATCAATTGCTTCACACAATTTGATATTAATTTGTTGTAAATTCAATGACAAACTTTTCAAATTATTTAATTTATTAATTAGTTTAATTAACTCCATAACTGTTATAATAATATAACTTTAATATCAATAAAACACGTGTTTTTATAACATATTTATATTAAACCAAACAGTAAATCATTGGAAAATGATATCATTTTATATATAGTTTTTGTTTTATTTAATCTTTAAACCTGTTATTAATATTTTATTACTTTTATTATTTATAACATATTTTCATCAATAATTTTCTATTAAGGCTTCTATTTTTATAATTTTTAATATTTGTTGTATATTAATGATAAATAAATTAAATATAACAATAATTAAATATATCTATTATTTTTATGTCAAATTAATTATTAAGTTAATAAAATTAAGATATTTTTATAAATTTATATATATTTTTATTATTAAAATTAATGATTGTTTATAAAAACTGTATAATAAAGTATAGACTTTATGATTTAAATTTTTATTAGTAATAATTAGCAATTAAAATAATATTTAATAACTTAGAACTCATCTAATTCATATACAATTTTTCACTATTAATTAAATAATTAAAAAAAAATATTTATTTCAAATATTTAATTTAAGCAACTATAGTAAAATACATTAATATGATTTTAAAAAAATAATATTTTTATTTAAGCATTTATTAAAAATTATTAATTAAAAATTTTTAAAAAATAATATTATTAAAATTGATTTAAATAATTAATTAATTATCTAATATATTTTTAAATCAACTAAATAATATTACTATACATTACAAAAATATTTAAGATAACATTTTCTACATTCATTAACATCATATTTAAAAGGTTTTAATGGCTGAATGATTTCGTTGATGTATTGAAAGTACAAATTTATTAGCAAATTGTTTGACACAGTTATCTAACATCACATTTAAAATGGTTTTATATTCAGATGATTAGTTCGTTTATGTTGTTGTAAATTAGATTTAGTTGTAAAATATTTGCCACAATTATTGTAATCACAAATAAATTTAGGTTCAATTGTATGATCTATTGATATGTGTTGTTGTAAACAATGATTTGTTGTAAATGTTTTCAGACACTTGTTTACTAAACATTTGAATTTTTTATTATTCAAATGATTAAATTTATGTTTTTTATAATTGCATTTAGTTAGAAATGTTTTATTACAATATTCAACATAACATTTAAATAATTTTTGTTTTAAATGAAAGTGAATTTCATGTGCTTTCAAATGAAATTTTGTTATAAATATTTTATTACAATTTTCATAAAAGCATTTAAAATTTTTATTAAAATGAACGCTAGATTTATGTTGATTTAAATATGTATTTCTAGTAAAACATTTGCCACAATCGTTAACATCGCAAACATATTTAACATTTAAATGTTTAGACTTTTTATGATTATCTAAACTCGATTTAAATTTGATTGTTTTATTACAATCATTACAATTGAATAGTTTATGAGATGAATGAATAATTTTATATATTATTTTTTATGTCAAATTAAATATTAAATTAATGAAATTAAGGTATTATTATAAATTTATATATATATTTATTATTGTATTTATATGATTGTATATAAAAACTTCATAAAAAAGTATAAATATTATGATTTGACTTATTATTAGTAATAATTATTTATTTTAGTAATACTTATATATTATTAATAATAGATTTTTATCAATAATTTTCTATTAACTTTACCTATTATTATAATATTTATTGTATATTAATGATAAATATATTAATATATATAATAATAATTAAATATACAGTATATATATATTATTTTTATGTCAAATTAAATTTTATATTAATGAAATTAATAGTTATTTTTTAGAATTTATATATATTTTTATTTTTGTATTTATATGATTGTATATAAAAACCTCATAATAAAATATAAATATTATGATTTAACTTATTATTAGTTAGTTAATAGTAATAGTTAGTTAATAACTTAGTACTCTTTTAATTAATATGCAATTTAATCTTTATTAATTGATTAATTTAAAAATAATATATTTCTTGTATAATAAATAAAAACAATTACAATATAATTATTGGTTTGAAATTACAATAAAATAATTAAAAATATTTATGTTTTAACACTCAA